ATGTGGCACAAACATATATGCGTCTTTGATACGGATCAGGGCGAAAGTAGCATCTCACTATAGTAAGATGTGATGGTGCTGCCTGCACCAACATGCACAGGCAGCCCAAGAGGGGAGCACACAGAATTGCACTCCTTTGCTCCATCCCCAAGGGAAGTGTTTAAATCAACTTTCAAGTATCTGCTTTGGGAGCCACTGCCAATCCCTTCTCTTGGAGGAGGAACAAAGAGCATTCCTTCTGTTTTGTAGTCCGAGTTGCCTTTGTGTGTTGGCACTAGCAACTTTCCCACATCAGGGAAATTTTATAAATGCAGGGCAATGTATGCTCACTAGCACAAAGAATGATGGGACATGTAGTTCAGAGAATTATACCTGGTGAAATTAGGAGTGCACACTTCCCCACCTGGAGGTTTGGGAAACCATACACAAAAACCTGCAGGATATGGCTAAAAACGCAGCTGAAAAAATTGTTTTTGAGCTGCTTGTGAAAGAATGGTTTAGTCCCGTATGGTAAAAGTCTATACAGATGTTTCTGTTGTAAAGGTTGAGGCTTTAGTACTACTTTGTTAAAGGTACAGTATGTGTGATGAAGCAACTTATGTTGTGTGATTGTCTATCAGATGTGGTAGTTGCAGAATCTCACAAACTGCTTACCTCACAAAATCTTCAAGCTCTACAGTTTCTAGTGTTGGAAAATGATGCAAAAAAAAAAAAAAAAAATGGGAGCTTCAATTCTGTGGGCATGTAAACCTAGAGCACAATGAATAAATTTATTTAGGCTGACAAGAAGTTCACAGCTGCTCAAATAACCAATTTTAACAGCAGCAGCGTGCAAAAGGGCATCTATGGACACACAAGTCAAGAATTTAGAGAAATGGGCTACAGTAAATAAGACAATGCTGGCTTCCACTTTTGTCAGCATAGTACAGGAAATGGGTTTTACAGGGAGCAAATGGTCACTACAACGGGACAGCTAGAATCTGGAAGAATATTGCCTGGTGTTATAAATATCTATTTCACCTACAATATGCCCATTTATCCCTACTTGTCTCATGTCAGTGGGTCACATTGTTGATCGTGTAATGCTTGGGGAATATTTTACACGACATACAGTATGGCTATTATTTCCAATTAAGCAACTTACATGGGTATCATTGCTGCCCTTTCATTCCAGTGAATACTAGATGGCCAATACAGAGTGCATATTTTCAGAAAAGAATTACTGTCTTTGCTCATTAAAGACACTTGCTAAGAAATTGTGTCCAGGTATCTTATTAATGTTGAAATATTATAATTTTGTTTGTTTTTGCAAATTTAAGTTCACAAGAGCTATGTGTTTAATTTGTGTATAAATGGTAGTTAAAACCCCAGATGCCTGTTTGACATTATATGCACATTCTATCTCTCTTAGCCGCACAAAGATTCAATATTACATGCATTTAACTTCCTGGAAGCCTGGAAAATGTGAAAATAAGTGCAATGAATAGATAATTAAAAGGATACAAGCTGGACAGAAGCCCTTATGAGTTGTGTTGTCATTTTTTTATATTCAGCTTCCCCAAGTGAATAGCACTAAAAGTTTCTAAGCCTGAGTATATGCAGGCATTAAATTGGCATTGGCGAAGTAGTGCCTATAGAACATCCATCTAGCAGCAGGGAATGGTGGCTCCAGCTGTGCAGAACGGAATCATTCCCATTTGAGATAATGAAAGTCGAGCACCAAAGCGTAATGAAGGGAGAACGATGACAAAGGTGTTAAAAGCAGAAAATATTATGATGATTGGGTTTAGTCAAAATAGCATCCCAGCTGCTGCTAGGTAGCCTATGAAATCATGGCATTGCTAGAAAGGTCATCTGAAAAAAATAGTTTGTTAAATTTTCATTACATTGTATGTATCACATAAGACTGTTTGCAAATGAAAGTTAACAAAAGCTTTTTCTCTGGGTCTTAATGTGCTTTGTTTTGCATTATTAACTTTTTTTTTTTGTGATCTGTGGACATTTTCTTTTGGGGATTTATTTGTCACGGTATTAATGACAATCTGTTTTTTGTGTGTAAAATAGCTTTTTATTACTGAATGTGCTAGAAGGGTTTTTTTTGCTTTCATTTAAACACTTGGATGTAGTTGTGATTTTTCCACTTTTGTATTGATTGCATTGTGTTGTAATCTTTAGAGTCTTATAATTGTTGTAGTTTTGTGGCTATATTGGCTTGTCCTGCTTTTGTGTCATCCTTTTACGTGTGTTTTAGTGGTATGTACTAAATTATATACAGTGGATATAAAAAGTCTACACACCCCTGTTAAAATGTCAGGTTTTTGTGATGTAAAAAAATGAGACAAAGATATAAATCATTTCAGAACTTTTTCCACCTTTTTAATGTAACCTATAAACTGTACAACTCAGTTGAACAACAAATTGAAATCTTTTAGGTGGAGGGAAATAAAAATAAAAAACTAAAATGGTATGGTTGTGTGAGGGACCGCCGAGCGGCACCACTAGCACTCCACTGGTCAGGCGTGCCCAGAGCGCGGAGTCTAAGCCCCAGGGTACTTGTTCACCAGGGCCCCTGATGGTGGGGATGGACTTGTAGTACCCCGAGACCAGGTCGCCTCTACTGAGCACACCTGTCAGTGGTAGTGGTGTTCGCCAGGGGCTCCAACCAGGGAGAGCCAGATGTGAGGAGGTCGGGTGACCCCGATGGGATGGATGGATGGATGGCTGAGCAAGTGCGTAGTCAGACAGGCCGAGTCGGTATTGTAGAGGACGGTAAGGTACAAGGGAGCAGGCAGAGAATCGTCGGGTCACACGCCAGGTCAGCAGCAGGAGGTCAGATCTAATAAGGGGCATCCAGGGAGAGAGGTCAGGCAAGCAAGGGTCTGGGCAGGAGAAATCAGCAAGGTCAAAGGCAATCCGGGTCAATAACTTACTAGGCACAGGTACAGGAACACAGGAAGCAGGTAAGACCAGAAGGCAACGAAATGACAGCTCAGGGACCTTTAAATATCCCGCCCTGCGCTGCCATTGGTGCCCCCAGCGGGCGGCCGCGGCTTCTACTGCGCATGCGTGAGCTCGAACGCCGCGGCCGGCCCGGACCTAGTGCCCGTGTACTAGGTGGAGCAGTGCGCCTGCGCCGGGACCATCGCGGCAGGGATCGAGGAGATCCCTGACAGGTTGCATATTGTGCACACCCTTAAACTCATACTTTGTTGAAGCACCTTTTGATTTTATTACAGCACTCAGTCTTTTTGGGTATGAGTCTATCAGCATGGTACATCTTGACTTTGCAATATTTGCCCACTCTTCCTTTCAAAAACACTGCAAATCTGTCAGATTGCGAGGGCATCTCCTGTGCACAGCCCTCTTCAGAACACCCCACAGATTTTTGATCGGATTCAGGTCTGGGCTCTTGCTGGGCCATTCCAAAACTTTAATCTTCTTCTGATGAAGCCATTCCTTTGTTGATTTGGATGTATGCTTTGGGTCGTTGTCATGCTGAAAGATGAAGTTCCTCTTCATGTTCAGCTTTCTAGCAGAAGCCTGAAGGTTTTGTGCCAATGTTGACTGGTATTTGGAACTGTTCATAATTCCCTCTACCTTGACAAAGGCCCCAGTTCCAACTGAAGAAAAAACAGTGCCAAACCATGATGCTGCCACCACCATGCTTCACTGTGGGTATTGTGTTCTTTTGGTGATGTGCAGTGTTGTTTTTGTGCCAAACGTCTTTTGGAATTATGGCCAAAAAGTTCAACCTTGGCTTCTAGACCAGAGCACATTTTCCCACATGCTGTTGGGAGACTTCAGATGTGTTTTTACAAAAATTTAGCCAGGCTTGGATGTTTTTCTTCGTAAGAAAAGGCTTCTGTTTTGCCGGGAGATTGTTGTCACATGTACTACACAGCCAGTACGGCCAGATATTCCTGCAGCTCCTTTAATGTTGCTGTAGACCTCTTGGCAGCCTCCCAGACAATTTTTTTTCTCGTCTTTTCATCAATTTTGGAGGGACGTCTAGTTCTTGGTAATGTCACTGTTGCGCCATATTTTCTCCACTTGGTGATGACTGTCTTCACTGTGTTCCATGGTATATCTAATGCCTTGGAAATTATTTTGTACCCTTCTCCTGACTGATACCTTTTAACAATGAGATCCCTCTGATGCTGTGGAAGACTTCTGCGGACCGTGGCTTTTGCCGTAGGATGTGACTAGGAAAATGTCAGGAAAGACCTACTAGAACAGCTGAACTTTATTTGGGGTTAATCAGAGGCACTCTTAAATGATGACGGGTGTACTGACTCCTATTTAACATGATTTTGAATGTGATTGCTTAATTCTGAACACCGCTACATCCCCAGTTATAAGAGCGTGTGCACATGTATACAATCACATTATTTTCAGTTTGTTTTTCTATTGAGTTGTACAGTTTATAGGTCACATTAAAGGTGGAAAGTTCTGAAATGATTTCTTTGTCTCATTTTTTATCTTTGTCTCATTTTTTTACATCACAGAAACCCGACATTTTAACAGGGATGTGTAGACTTTTTATATCCACTGTAGATACACTAGGGGAACTGGGGCTGACAGAATCTGCACAGAAAACAGCTGTGCAGAGTAACCAATTGGCTTATAGCTTCAGCTTGTTCTGTTAAAGCGGAACTAATCCTAAACAAGTGTGAGTAGACAGCACTTTATTGCACAAGAGATATGCTTGGTCTCCTCTGCAATAACACATACTTACCTGCCTGCTCGCAGTCTTCTGTTGAATGTATACTAAGCTGCGCATGGACTGCTGAATATGCATTCCTAACAAACTGTGGCTGGAGAAGATGACAGCTGGAGGTGAGATATGTAACTGCCGCATCCAGTGGAAATGTTTTCAGGTATTTAGTTCTGCTTTAAGCTTTGAAACTGAAAGCTAGAAGCTGATTGGTTGCCATGCACAGCTGTTCCAGCCTTAGTAAATTCCTCGGTGTTTTAAGGTTTTATTCTTTTTCTTCTGACAGCATCTAGGACACATATGGGATCCAGCCTGGGGATGCAAGTCTCTATATAAATGGCCTTCAGATTGACCTAGATGTTCATAATTCATTCAGGTAAAAATTATTTTGTATTGGTATTAAACAAGTAGAATTGTAGTTAAGGTGTTTTTATGTAGATAATTTGAGCTACTATTTTGAATGTGAAAAGCATTTGGATTTATAAAATAGTGATGTAAACCACTATTTGGCTAGTGTTTTATATTTGGGCTCTATATAGTGGCTAGTCATGTGACCACTCCCAGGACATGATCCCATGGTGGGGAGGCAAGTTTGGAGGGCTGATGTTCAAGTAATAATGAGTCGGCCAAAACCGTGACCTTATTTTTGGCATCACACTGCCTCTGCCGGCTTGCCTTCTTTCCATACTGCATCCTTGGTCCCTCTCTTTCCCAGGTAAGCAACGCAATCACACACACCCCCACACATGGCCATCTACATGATGTAAAAGAAAGCATAATTCATAAGACCAGGCCACCTTCTATTGCTCCATCCAGTTTTGATGCTCACATGCCCATTGTATGCACTTGTGGCTGTGGACACAGGTAAGCATGGGCACCCTGACCGGTCTGCGACTATGCAGCCCCATAAACAACAAATGCAATGGCAATTTTTTTCTGCTTTCAACACATCAACTTCAGGGACAACATGTTCACTTACTGCCTAATATATCCTTACCACTTTCAGGTGCCATTGTCACAAGATATTATTCTCTTTACTGGTCAGTGGTCATAATGTTACAGCTGATCGGTGTGTGTGTGTGTGTGTGTGTGTGTGTGTGTGTGTGTGTGTGTGTGTATACAGGTGAAACTCGAAAAATTAGAATATCGTGCAAAAGTTCATTTATTTCAGTAATGCAACTTAAAAGGTGAAACTAATATATGAGATAGACTCATCACATGCAAAGCAAGATAGTTCAAGCTGTGATTTGTCATAATTGTGATGATTATGGCTTACAGCTCATGAAAACCCCATATCCAAAATCTCAGAAAATTAGAATATTACATGCAATCAATAAAACAAGGATTGTACATAGAACAATATTGGACCTCTGAAAAGTATAAGCATGCATATGTACTCAGTACTTGGTTTGGGCCCCTTTTGCAGCAATTACTACCTCAATGCGGCGTGGCATGGAAGCTATCAGCCTGTGGCACTGCTGAGGTGTTATGGAAGACCAGGATGCTTCAATAGCAGCTTTTCTGCACGGGTTTCAGCTTTTCTGCACTGTTCAGTCTCATGTCTCTCATCTTTCTCTTGGCAATGCCCCATAGATTCTCTATGGGGTTCAGGTCAGGCGAGTTTGCTGGCCAATCAAGCACAGTAATCCCACGGTCCTTGAACCAGGTTTTGGTGCTTTTGGCAGTGTGGGCAGGTGCCAAGTCCTGCTGGAAATTGAAGTCAGCATCCCCATAAAGCTCGTCTGCGGAAGGAAGCATGAAGTGCTCCAAAATCTCCTGGTAGATGGCTACGTTGACCCTGGACTTAATGAAGCACAGTGGACCAACACCAGCAGATGACATGGCTCCCAAAATCAACACAGACTGTTGAAACTTCACACTGGACTTCAAGCATCTTGCAGTGTGTGCCTCTCCATTTTTCCTCCATACTCTGGGTCCTTGGTTTCCAAACTAGATGTAAAAGGTGCTCTCATCAGAAAAGAGGACTTTAGACCACTGAGCAACAGACCAGGTCTGTTTTTCTTTAGCCCAGGTAAGACGCTTCTGACGTTGTTTGTTGTTCAGGAGCGGCTTGACGAGGAATATGACATTTGAAGGCCATGTCCAGGATCCATCTGTGTGTGGTGGCTCTTGATGCACTGACTCCAGCCTCAGTCCACTCCTTGTGAAAGTCCCCAACACTTTTGAATGGCCTTTTTCTGACAATCCTCTCCAGGCTGCGGTCATCCCTGCTGCTTGTGCACCTTTTTCTTCCACACTTTTCCCTTCCACATAACTTTCTATTAATGTGCTTTGATACAGCACTTTGGGAACATCCAACTTCTTTTGCAATTACTTTTTGAGGCTTTCCCTCCTTATGGAGGGTGTCAATGATGGTTTTCTGCACAACTGTCAGGTCAGCAGTCTTTCCCATGATTGTGATTCCTACTGAACCAAACTGAGAGACCATTTAAAGGCTCAGGAACCCTTTGCAGGTGTTATGGCGCAATTAGCTGATTAGAGTGGGACACTTTGAGCCTAGAATATTGCACCTTTTCACAATATTCTAATTTTCTGAGATTGTGGATTTGGGGTTTTCATGAGCTGTAAGTCATAATCATCACAATTATGACAAATCACGACTTGAACTATCTTGCTTTGCATGTAATGGGTCTATCTCGTATATTAGTTTCACCTTTTAAGTTGCATTAGTGAAATTAACTTTTGCACAATTTTCAAATTTTTTGAGTTTCACCTGTATGTGTGTGTATACATATGTGTGTGTGTGTGTGTGTGTGTGTGTGTGTGTGTATGTATATATATATATATATATATATATATATATATATATATATATATATATATATATAAAATGTTTTGGTTTTTTTTAATTTCTTGATCTCAGTGGATGTGTACTATTCCATTGGCATATATGGAACTACAATTTTATGTAAAAAAAAAATGTATGTAACAAGCTGCATTTCTCTGAAGTCCTGTCCTTCATGGCTCCAGGTTTCCGCTTAAAATGCATATGAGTCAATTGAAATACCCCAAAAACCTATTCACTCACCAGAAAAAATGACCAGCTTTGCAGTCGATTTTAGCATGTTTTATGGAGATATTCCTGTCACAATCATACACACCGAGAGGTGCAGTTCTCCATTTTGCTCCAAACTTCTGCATTTTGGTATTTTTCTTAAACTAATATGCAGTCACCTGAGATGGGGGGGGGGGGGGGAGGTGTAGAAGCCGTGGACACCAGAGGCAGGCACAGATATCACTGTGTCAAGAAGTCTTAATGTCATCCCCTCATTCCCCCTCCCTCAGGAATGCAATCAGCATATGATGTTGAGCCCCTGCCTAACAATTCTTTGCCAAATAAGGCTTGGCTTGTCCATTGTGGGAAGAGACACCCCGTTGATTTTGAGTAGAAAAAAGAGAGGCTGTTAGGTTTTGTGTGTAGACAGAGAAGTGAGAACCTCCTGCGTTCAACATCTCGCAGAGAGAGAGAGAGAGAGAGAAGATCTCCCTGCCTTAACATCGAAACTAACAGTGGGAGATCAAAGCATCCTTTTGGTCATGAAACTTGAAGCTGCTTAAAACCAAGGCTGACTGGCAAGTACTTTAACTTTTTAAACTCTTTTCTGTTATCTGTTTGCTGTGCTGTTATGCTGTTATGCTCTGTATATATATATATATATATATTATATATATATATATATGTGTAAATTGGTTACATCTTCTGTCTGTAAATATTTTTACTGCACCCTTTTAACCTTTTGGTAATAAATCTTACTTTCTGAAAGTGTTGAACTGTTTCTATAGCTCCTGAATGTAACTTATGAATCCCTGCCGCTGAAGAGCGCTACTATGAGTGTTTAACTCTCTGTATAGCCGGTCTGTAGAGATAGCGGGATACTGACGGTTAACCAATCATCCTAGTGTATTGCTGAGTTTCCTCTTTCTCTGTATAAAAAGGAGGTGGTGGCAGTGTGAAGGGTTAATTGCGTAATTAACCTGACCCAGTAACAATCGCATTCAGGGCTGCTGGTACATCGATTGTGGTCCAATTAGCTGGAAAATCGGGTGTGCAGGGTGCAGCTGGGTGTGGCATTGTTACGCACGTGACATCGCGGTTTTAGATTGGCTAGTCCTTCGATGACGAGTTTGGTGAGAAGGGCTGAGGTCTGACGCTGTGCCCATCACAATTCCAATCTCCCCTTCTGGCAACACTAGAGAGTTGAGTGTTGTTGGAGGAAGCTAAAATGCTTGATGTTTCAGAGAGTTAAAAAAAAAAAACAAAATCAAAAATTAATTTTAGAAGTTAAAAAAAAAAACACGGTGAGTGCTCAAAATAAGGCCCCATTACATCTAGCTTTTTTGAAATGTGTTTTTTGCGCTTTTTTCACCTGGCATGTATAGGGCAGCCCATTGGTTAAAATGGGCTGCCCTATGCGTGACTAACCTGGCAGAGTAGCTCATTTTGCTGTACTCTAGTTTGTTTGTTTTTTTTAATTGTGCATTTTGCCATGCGGCATAACAAGTGTTTGCTTCCCACATTTGGGATGCCATTAACCATTAATGGTTGCATAAGCACAATGCAAGGTTTTTGCATGTTCCGGGAACGCGCATGGAGATGTACATGTCTGTGCATGTTCCCAGAATGTGCTGATCTTAATGGAGCATTAATTTGATTATGGTGGTGTTCGTAATATTCATAAGATGCATAATGTTATTGATGAAATATTGATGCTTTAGAAAACGTTGCTTCCCTTTTTATTTATTTTAAGTATCTTAGATATTTTGAAAAATGAAGCAAAAGCTCTACATGGCCTGTCGGTTTTGGGAATAAAAAATGAGGATATCGTCAAGTACTTACACTTGCAAGTACATGCAGGAGAAGAAAGTTATGCCTTAGATATCCGTAATTCAGCTATTACTGTGAGTATTTCAGAGTACATATTGTATTTAAAAAATGCTTGCATTACCTTAAGTAATGTACTGGCGATTAAGGTTAAAGGGGATATATCGTCTTTTTGTATGTATGTCTGTGTATCCATATGTATATTTTTCCCATATGTTTAAATAATATGTCTGTTGTAAAAGCCTGTTTTATAAAGCTGAACTTAAGTTGAAATTTACACACACATGAATGGGTCGTAAGAGTGACTAATCCCTTAATGGATGATGGTCAGAGAATTCAGTTAGACAATGTGAGCCATGGCCTGGTGGTTTTATATACTCCATTTACAATGTACTCTGCAGAGGATCCCTTTCCGCCCAGGTGCTCAAGATCCTCTGCAGATCCCAAACATAGTTGATAACGGCTATATTTGGGAATTGTACTCAAAAATGTATTGTATTAGCAACATGGATGCCGCACACCAAGATGCAAAATAATCTTTTATTAAAATAACCTGTAGAAACAAGTTATTTTATGATTTTTGTTGAGATAGGTACAACACTTTCTCAAACAATGCCAAAGCCTCTGAAGTGGACTTGCTCAAAACACTGTCACTTCCTTGATTCACCTTTGCATTAGAGTTCTGGGAAAGATGGTTGCCTCCTTTAAGGCAGTTCCCTTTGTCCAGTTTCAATCCAGGCCCTTCCAATCAAATGTCTTGGTGGTATGGGACAGGGGGACACACAGTCGTTGGATTCCCCTGTGTCGTTGCTCCCCAGCACAAGACTGTGTCTGGACATTTGTACCTCTTCACGGATGCTCGAGATTGGAAAATCATTTTCTCACTCTATCTTGCAGGGTCATGTTTACAGACCACAGCCTGCTGTGATAGGGTGGTCTGGATAATCCTTTGGTTCAGGGGATTTGCTGACCACAGAAAAAGTCATTACCCACCAACATACTGGAATTGAGGGCAATTTACCTTGCTCTGCTATAATGGTCAGTGCAGCTATAGGACATCCCTGTAAGGGATAAGTTGAGCAATGCTACAGCGATAGTATATATAGGTCGTCAAGAAAGCACCAGACTTTAGGTGGCCCAAGAGATAGTAAATACCCTTTTTAATCCATGCCAATAGTCTGCTAGCCTTGCTTGCTGCAGCTTGGCATTGCATGCTATTGCTGAGTCTGGGATATATCAGGACCCTCTGATCCTTTACCGTCCTCAATTTTCCTCAGAGGTTCTCCCCTAGCGATTAATTTGCATTCATATTTTTAGCTACCAAGTGCATTACTTTTACTTTTTTATATAAAACCTCATCTGCCATATAGCTGCCCACCCCACAATTTTTATTGAGGTCTTTTTGTAAACTTACTATATCCTGCTGTGACGTTATTGCCATGTTTGGCTTTGTACCATCAGCAAACACTGAGATTGAACTACTTATTCCAAACTCTAGATCTTTTATTTCAAAGTTACAGAGTTGGTCCCAGGACAGAGCCTTTGGGTCATCCCGCTCAACACTCTAGACCATTCAGAAAATATGCCATTAACCATGTACTCTCTGGATGTGCTCCTGCAACCAGTTTTCTATCTAGGTAAATATAACATCATCAATGCCAAAAGACCTAATTTATAAATTAAGTTTTTATGGAGTACTGTATTGCTTTGGCAAATTCTAGATATACGTACTATGTCCAAAGGCCTTTCTCTATCCAATTTATGGCTTACCTATTTAAAGAATGCTAAATGGTTGATCTGGCATGAGTGGACTTTCATAAATTCATGTTGGTTACTACTAATTATACATTTTTCATTGACAAATTCTTGGGTTTGGTCCCTTATCATTCCTTCCAATAGCTTACTTACTGTTGATGTTGGGCTGACTGCTCTGTAGCTTCCAGGTATATATCTTGGCCCTTTTTAGGAAAATTGGTACCATGTTTACTTTTCAACCAATCTGCTGGTACCATTCGAGTCAGTAAGCTGTCCTTACAAATTGCTAATAATGATGTGGCTATAGGATGGCCAAGTTTTTTGAGAACACTGGTTTCAGTCAGCCACAAGGGTACTTTCACTATAGCTTTTCATTAACTTGTAGGCTTCATTCACATTTGTGTGATTTCAAAATCATGCAATTTTTCATTGCGACTTTACAGTGCGATTTGATGTGACATTGGATGAGTGCAACTTTGGTGAAACTTTGACCAAGGATAATTGTACTCTACGACTTGAAAGTCGTATGTATATCATTCAGGTGCACCTTTCAAGTGACTTTGGAGGTTTACACTGAAGTCTTTGGCCCAAAAGTCACATGAAAGTCAGACCAAAGTAGCACAGGAGCTACTTTCATGTCCCAGCGACTTGAAGTCGCACAGATATGAATGGTACTAAGTGGGAAACATGGGGTGTGACTTGTCATGTGACTTTGGACCCCAAAGTCTCATGACAAGTTGTACAAGTGAGAATGGGCTCTTACTGGGGACAGTTTACAAACTGATATCTTACCGCATCCAAGTCTGCGGTAAGATACCACACAGCATTTTTAAAAATAAGTTGGCATTCACTATAAAGTGCTACTAAAATACCGCATGAGTTAGTCATGGTATTTAGCAGTGAAGACATGCGGTAATGTGATGAGTTGTCAGCTGAATGTAAACAGAAAGCACAAATTTATTCCGGAAATTAAAAATTAAGGGAATAAAATGACGTTGGGTCCCCCCCATCCATAAAAAGCCCATCGGATCTGGTATGGATTTTGAGCTGAAACCCCCATGCCAAAATAAAAAAAAAAATGGCTAGGCCCCCCTCCCAAAATCTATACCATACCTTTATCAAAGCATGCGCCTCCATGGGTAACCCCGCTGACAGCTGATGACTCATTGGTTGCTAAGGACGTGACTTTTTAACGACCAGTACATACCACATGCCTTGATACCTAATTACCACATGCATTTGATTAATTCCTTCTGTGAATTGACTTTAAGGTCTTTTTATGCAGTATTTACTGAGTGTTATTGCTATTTGCGGTAAATACCGCATACTAGCAATAGTGAATTGACACTTTCAGTATCGCATGTGATAAGTGGTCACCTGACCAACAAAATGCATGCGATAACCTTTAGTGAATTGTCCCCATTGTCTTATTATACACCTCTTTCTCATTCGTATAACCTGAGTAGAAGAGTGTAATACAGTTGCCTTCTCCCTATGACTTGTGACCAACTTCCCCTGATCATCCTTTATGGGGCATCTTACTATTGTATTTAAAAAAAAAAGGGGGGGGGGGATTCTTTTTTAATTCTTAATTTCATGTTCTATTTTAACTTCCCTGATCATGCTATTGCATTTCTTATTGCATTCTTTGTAGTTTTATATTCTAAATATTTTTTTTTTTTTTTGAAGGACTGCCTTTTCTCATCGACATACCTTTTTTATGTTAGTAAGTAGACACCCAGGTTTCACTTTTGTGCTTTTATATTTGTTGACCAGTGGAATGCATGTGTCCTTTAAGCACTCCCACTTTTCTTCAGTGTTCTTTGTTACCAGAATTTATTCCCATTTAGTGTCATGTAATAGGGAGTACAACTTAGTAAAGGTGGCTCTTTTGAAATGTAGTGTTATTATATAGTTGCATAGTTCGTCTAGCTGAAAAAAGTCCATCCAGTTCAACCACAATCCATCCCTTATGTCTTCCTTTCCTATAATGTATGGCAAACATAATTACAATGTGATTGTGGCTGCTTAAATTATCCCTTACGTCCACATCTGCAATCAGTTCTATGTTGTTTAAAACTAGTAGGTCCTGCAGAGCATCATTTCTAGTTGGGGCTTCCACCATTCAGCTGCGGTTCCCTCTGCCCAATCAATATCAGGAAAGTTGAAGTCTCCCATGATTATAACATTGCCTTTCCTCCGCACTATTTCTAATTGTGAAAGGAGATGTTTTTTTTTTTTCCCCTCATCCTTAAAGTTAGGAGATTTTATAGCAAATATCCACAATTATTGTACCTTTTTGTTTTGTCCATCGGAAGATATAGTCACACATGCCCCACTAGCAATGTCATCCCTTATATTCACTATCCTCATAGACAGACAAACCGCTGACTCTCCAAAACAGTGTGTACCTTTTGGATAGTCACAAGCCAGTCATGTGAGCTGTTAAACCAAGTTTATGATATTCACACAAAGTATCAGAAGTTCCAGTACTTCCATCTTATTAACCAGACTTTTAGCATTTGTGTACATACTTGCTCTTAGGTTACACTTAGATTCAGCAAGCCTGCTAACATTGGTCTTGTATACTTTAGTTTCTCTGTCCTCTGGATTGAGCCCCAAAACACCCCCCCCCCCCCTCAACTTTGCCCACATCTGAATTCCAGTGCAAAGTTTGACACTAGTTCAATGCATGATATAAATCACTGATTCCTCTCCTCACATCCTAGTTTAAACGTCTCCCCCCCCCCAACCTTCTGAACCTCTCTAGTTTTAAAACAGAATTACTGGCTTCAGCACCTCATACTCCCTGCAAAACTTCTCAGTCCCTATTCTTTTGAACTCATGTGAATGGGCTGCCCTGTTCTGTCATGCAACAACCATGCAAGAAAATGTGCAAAAAAGAAAAGGGTGGCTTAAATTCAGACAGCAGAGTTTCATCTTTGCAACACTATCATTTTTTTAAAGCATTTCCATGTCTGCATTAGCTGATTCATTACATGGTGAGTGGTGAGCACAGGAATCTACATACACTTTGTGCAGAGGTTTCCTTCATGTTATTTTCTCCTCTGGTCAAATGTTTTTAGTTTTATAGTGTTAGGCTATTTTCTTTATTGATTGAATAGTCTTCTGGTTTAATGTTCATTAGGCCTTTTCTCTTAGGACTGAATGTTAGGGAATGTTGCCTTTGCCCCATAAAAGGCAGCAAATACAGACTGACCTTTCATACATGTTA